CCCCCCCCCCCCCCAGGTGGCCTAGATTCCCAACAGAAACTTCTAAGATAACAATAAGGCATCTCCAGTCTCCTTTTCCAGTTGTCCTCTGAGCAGGTCCTTTCTGTTCTAGAAGTTTCCATGCCAGTACCAGCAGGACAGCTGAAAATTATTTTCCCTGCTGAAACTATAGCAATCTGATACTTCCCCAAAAGACTTGGCACTGATCAGGGAGCCATGATTTTGCTCCCTGCCTGGCCCTGTCTCTCCTAGTGGCCAGGGGACGTTGGCTGTTTCTTGACTGGACCAGGTGGGCCAAGGAGCATCCAGCCCAGAACAGCAACTCGAATTCCTCCTTCTTCCCACTTTTCTTTCTTTCTATCCACCATCTTATTTCTTTTTCAAGCTCCATACTTATTTCTTTTTCAAGCACACACCACTGACCTTTTTGGCGGGGAAGGGGGAGCCAAAGGGGCTGAGAGAAGAATAAAGGTATAAGGTGCAGAGGCTCTGGCATATTAAACCAGACTTCTAAATCACTGTCCCTGTCCCTGTTCCCCACCTCAGCACCCCCCACATGGGCTCACCAGGGAGAGGCCCCCTCAGCTTTCATAGAAGACTCCCCCGAATCACTTCTCACCAGCCCCCCACCAGCCTTCACATCACATCCCTCTACCTTCCACCATTAATGCCACACCCACCTCTTCTGGCCTCACTCTCCTCCACACCTGACAAGCTGCACCTATTTCACAGACCCATCCTTTTGTCCCATTCTGTATCTCCAATCTGAGACTCTGAAAAGGACAAGGGAGAGGCGTGGAACCTCATCCCCCCTTCTCACACAAAAACATTTTAGTCTGAGACCCAACAAATTCAGACAGACATATCATGGAGTGAATGGATGAGATGACCCAAAAGAAAAATATTTAAAAATTTAAAACAGGACCAAAAAAAAAAAAAAAGAAAAAAAGCTGGCAGGGAGCGAGTGAAATATTTAATGGCTGTCTGATTAAATAAAAATGAGCTAAATTCTCTGCATCGTGGACAAGGACAGGATTCCAGCCCAACTCCAGGAAATCTAAGACAAATGCAGGAACACAAAGATCACACACACACACACACACACTCAGCAATGATCAGACGATAAGTTACGTCTCTAAATTGCTAAATCACAGGGTGCTTTAAACAGAGAGGCGAGGACAAACGAAAGATGAAAATGTGGAGTTTGGGGCGTGTGTGCCTGGGTTCCAGCTGAGCCTGGACCTGGCTCACCTCCAGTCCTTGCTCCCTCATCTTATCTCAATTCATTTTCTCAGAGTCCCAAAGATCAGACCTTTGGGGAACAGAGCTAGAAGGGGCTTGATGTTATAAATAGGACTTCTGGGAGCACCCCCGGCCTTGAGCTCCCCACATTCAAAAAAGCTACAACCTCTGCTCACAGAAGCCAGCTGAGGGAGCAGATGCAGTGACATCTCACATATCCAGATTCCTCAGGAGACCACAAACACAGGCTGGGGACATGGAAGGGGCATTTCTGGCAGAGGGAGGGCTAGCATGAGGAGGGCAGCAGAGGCCAATCATTTCTACCTGCTGGCCACAGTCTACACCCATTCCCAAGCACCCACCCCAAATTTCCCACCTGTGCCCACTTTCCTCCTCCAGAGAAAGCCCAGGACTCAGGAAATGCCTTTAACTCATAAACCCATAAACCTGGTTCCCAAATGACATAGAAGCTCATTAGAGGCAGGAACCACCCCGGGCATCAGAACAGGAGGGAAAGAGGGTGAATGTTTAAGAGGACAGAATAAAAATATCAACTGTTCAAAAAAAAAACAAAAATAAAAAAAACCTTGCCCTGGCCAGGTAGTTCAGTTGGTTAGAGAGCCATCCCAATACACCAAGGCTGAGAGTTCAATCTCTGGTCAGGGCACATACCAGAATCAAACAATAAATGCATAAATAAGGTGAAGAACAAATCGATGTTTCTTTCTCTCTCTCTCTCTAAAATCAATTTTAAAAATAAATAAATAATTTTTAAAAGTAGCCCTGGCTGCGTAGCTTGGTTGGTTGGAGCACTGTCCTGAAATATCAAGGCTGTGGGTTTAATTGACAGTCAGGGCACATACAAGAATCAACCAATGAATGCATAAATAAGTGGAACAACAAATCGATGTTTCCCTCTTTCTCTCTCTCTTCCTTCCTCTCTCTCTAAAAATAAATAAAAATTTTAAACAAACAAACAAACAGAAAAAAACCTGCATGTGGGGAAATCAATGTGACTCAATACAGCATCAGATTCTAGTATGCTTTACACATAGGGAAATGATAAAACTGCATGTTCTTCTCCAAAAAAAATAGAATACTTCCAAAATGTGTATTTTTCTCAGTCGGCTTCATGGTTGCTGCTGCTGCCCTGTCCTGATGGTGTCAAGGTACAGCTGAATTTAGTTGCCTCCTGGGAAATGTCACTCTCGTCCCTGGCTGGTAAGTCCAAATTGCCAGGGAGGGAGATAAAAATTATCTCCTGAATCTGGGTGTGTCTCCAAAAACCATCTACACAAAAGCCCGCCCGCTGGCTGCTTGGCTGCCCTCCTGCTCAAATGTGCCAGCACACATGGAGCTTGGCAAACTCCAGCCCCCAGGCCCTGCTTTGCACCCCCCACCCCTTAAGGAAAACAAGAAGCAGGTCCCTAGCACCAAAGCTGCAAAACTCCAGGCCAGATGTGGGGTGGGTTTGCAGCTGCTACAAATTTTTACACATTAAAAAAAAAAAAAAGTCATGTACATGTCAAGATGACAAAGTCTGCTTTTCCACTGGTGGCTCCTGCTCCAGAGCTCATGGCTTGGGTGTTGAAAGGGTCAGCAGGCCCCTCTCCCCTGTGGTTCTGGCAAGGGCCCTTCCCTCCAAACCCAAGCAAGGAGACCTCAATGTCAGTCCCCACAGATGTAGGTCCAGTTTTCAGAATAGGAGGCAGAAGGGGCTGCACCCCGGGAAAAAGAAAAGACACTTTTGTTGTTGGCTAAAGCCTTTGCTTTAACCAAAGAGAATATAAATTACTCTGTGCCCAAACTAGCGTTATTGTTTTAAAAAAGAGAATAAGGCCCTGGCCGGGTAACTCAGTTGGTTAGAGTGTCGTCCCGATATGTCAAGATTGCGGGTTCAACCCGCATCGGGGCATGTACAAAAAGCAACCAATGAGCACATAAATAAGTGGGACAACAAGTCAATGTTTCTTTCTCTCTCTCTGCCCCCCTTCCTCTCTCCCTCTAAAATTAAAAAAAAAAAAATTTTTTTTAAGAGAGAGAATACGAACTAAAAAAATAAAGTCACGACATATTCCAAAGCTGTTCAAGCTGTTGGGACATAAATCAGGGCAAAGACTCTTTGAGAGCCTTTTAAGTTTGGGAAAAGCCAGTCACAGGATGGAAGGAACTCCAAAATCCCTTCGCCAGAGACCTAGAAAAGCAGGTGTACAGGTGGCCCAGTCGTGGGATCGCAGTGTGGAGATCGACCTGATCAGGATTCTCTTCAGTAATCCGCACCCAAGGGTCTCCCATATGTCATGGCCACCTCCCCAGATGCAAAGGGAAACAGAAAAAATCTTCAGCAGCCTCCTTCAACTCAATCAGCACTTTTGCAGAGAAAAGGGGAGAGGAGGTATGTAAATAGAAATATCTGATCCAAATCAGATCACCAGCTGAAAGGTTTGTCTCCTCCTGGGGTCCCTGATGGGATGAGGTCTTGGGAGGCCTGAGTGGCTCTCAGTGTTTGTGGCGACAGTGGATTTTGCTTTCTGACTGCTCCAGGACACCCAGCATCTCCTCGATGATGGCCCTCAGTGCCCTGCCCAGCTGGTCTGCGTTGTATGGCTTGCCCAGCGGAGGCACATGGACAAAGGCTGAGCGGCCATGACTCTGGTACAGAGAGGTATAGTAGGTGAAGTCGCAGAGGTACCTAAACCGCAGGTCATAGGGGGCAGGAGAGAGATCAAAACACAGTAAGACTAATAGGACATCCAACCCCCTGTAAGACGCCCAACTTGACCACAAGAGGGAAGAAATCCACAAGAGGGAAGGAATACTGCTTCTCCCTTCCCAGGTTGGTAAAATGAAAACAACCCTGTTAACTCCCAGTGCTGGTATGTATGTGGGGAAGTAGGCAGTGTGACATGCTGTAGCGGGATGCAGACTGCCCCAGAGGAAGGCAATTTGGCAGGCTAGCATTATGACAAATGCACAGTCTTTACAAACAGTTCCAGTTTTTAGAACCTACCTTCAGGAGCCATCTGTACATGCGCACAAGAAAGATAAACAAGGGGTTCACTGCAGTGTTATGTATAACAGCAGGAGAACAGGAAGCAACCTGCTAGGGTCTGAATGTTTGTGTCCCCGCCCCTAAACCAAACACAAAATTCAGATGTTGAAGTCCCAATTCCCAATGTGATGATATTAAGAGGTGAGGTCTTTGACAAGTAAGAGCCCTCATCAATGGGGTTAGTGCCCTTATAAAAGAGACCCAGGAGAGCTCTCCATCTCCTCCCACCCTGTGAGGAGACAGCAAGAAGCCAGCCATCTGGAGGAGGGCCTTCATCAGAACACAACCATACCAGCGCCTTGATCTTGAACTTCCCAGCTCCAGAACTGTAATACATTTCTGTTGTTTATAAGCCCCCCTCCCAGTCTGTGGGATTTTGTTATTGCAGCTCAAATAGACTAGGACACAACCTAAAGGTCCACTGACAGAAGACTGGCTTAATAAACTTTGGTTTATCCACACCGTGGAATACTGTGCAACCATTTACAAGGCACATGGCAGATCCAGAGGAAGACAGAGAACTCACTAAGACCCAGTCCTGTGTCTATAAGTGAAACCAAGGAAGGTAATGCTCAGGAAAATCCATGCCATGTAACCCCATCCACATAAAAGCAAAGCAAAACAGGACAAAACCCTAAAGCAGCATGCCAAGCATTCTACATGTGTACAGAAACATGGAGGACATAGGAGGTTTCGTAATTTAAGTCTCTGATTTAACAGAGGGATCAATGTGGGGAAGGAGAGAGAGCATGAGAATTTTTCATAATGGGAACATATGAGAACATATTCTAGAATGACCTGTGCAATTTAAAACTAGTTTTAAAAAGAGACTGATAACAAATTCAGTCACTCCTACATTTAGTCAGTCAACTAAATTTGTCATCTGCTGCCTTTGGGCTGGGGAAGTATAAGAAGTGTTGAGAAATCAAGGTACCCAGTGCTGAGAGGGAGCTGAACAGAGGACACAGCTTGGTCTGGGAGGTAGGGGAGGCCTCCCTAAGGAGGCAACATGCTGGAGCTGAGACCTGAAAGAGGCCTTATCTGAGGGAGGCAAGTTTGGGCGGAGGCTACAGCAAGTGCAAAGGCCCTGACACTAGAGTGAGCTTGGTGTGTTTGAGGGACAGGAGAAGACTGGTTTGTGAGTCTGGAATGCAGTGGGTAAGGAGAGAGTGGAGGCAGGTAAGGGTGGAAGGGTGGGTAGGGGCTAGACCACATAGCACCTGGGGATGGTGGGAAGGGGTCGGGATTTTATTCTAGGTGCAGTGGGAGCTTTAGGAGGGATTAAGCAAGGAAGAGACATTATTTGACTTAAATTTATAAAAGACCTTGTAATAGTTTCCCTTCCAAACTCATGTTCACCTGGAACCTCAGAATGAGACCTTATTTGGATACAGGGGTTTTGCAGATGTAATAAGGTAAGATGAGGTCATATTGGACTCGGGTGGGTCGTAAATCCAATGACTAGTATCCTTTTAAGAAGGTCATATGAACACAGAGGAAGAGATTGGGGTGATGCATCTACAAGCCAAGGAAAGCAAAGGGTCGCTGGCAGCTACCACAGGTCAGGAGAGAGGCAGGGAACAGATTCTCCCTCAGAGCTTTAAGAAGGAACGAACCTTGCTGACACTTTGATTTTGGACTTCTAGCCTCCAAAACTGGGAGAGAATAAATTTCTGTTTATGGTTTTGTTATAGCAGCCACAGGAAAACTAATATAGAAATTGAAAAAAAGAAAAAGAGAGAGAGAGAGAGAAAGAGAGAGAAAGAAAGAAGAATAAATAAATAAATAAATAAATAAATAAATAAATAAATAAATAAATAAATAAATTGACTGCTTGGAGGAAGAGTGTCAGGGTTGGGGTAGAAGTGGCAGGAGGAACACCAGGGAGTTGGCTGGAGCAGTGTCCAGATGGCAGTGTCTCTCCTAAAGCTCCTGGGTGGGGAGAAGTAGGCAGATGCATATGTAATGAATTCCAGAAGCAGAATTAGTGGGACCTGTTAAATGTACATACTTTGCTCTGTGGCTTATGCATGGTGAGTGCTCAGCCCACAAAGGCCAAAGTCAACACACTTGGCTTGCTCAACACCAGCCTGGGCCGGTGGAAGAAGGAAACCCCTGCTCACACCCACTCCACGGTGCCCTACCTGCCGGCATCTTGCGAGATGGTCACCGACACATCCAGGCCCAGAGTCGTGACCCTCTTACATACAGCATCCATGTCAATGATGGAGTCAATGCTTTCAGGCCCATCCTCCACGCAGCACTGGGAGCCGGGGCAAAAGCGGCAATTGTCCAGCCCTTTGTAGCCCTTGTTGTGGCCGCACTTTTCCAGTGTGACTGTGGTCGCCATGCCTGACACACCCACATGCACCACTAGCTGCAGACAGACAGGCAGGGCTTAACAGGGTCTGTCCATGGGACTAGGGGACTCCTTAGGTCAAGGACAGGGTGGCATCCTCACTAGGCTCCACCTGGGGTTACACTGTTTCTGACCTCTTGCTCCTGGAATAGACCCTATAGTCACTACTGCGGAAAGGTATGCCAAGTGACACATATAAGGATGTGAAACATGCAAGGATGTTCACTGCAGCTTTTTAATACAATCAAATACTGAAAAACGAGTAGTTAGCTATTTGTGGGGGTTGGTTAAGTAAATTATGAACTACTATGTAGCTGTTAAAATGCCCAAATCAGTTCTATAAGTAATGATCTCCAAGACATTGCCAAATGCAGAAGACAAGGTATAACTTCCAGGAATCTAGCCTAAAAATAATCAAAGATGTAATAATCTTTCAATGTCCACTTCAGTATTTATAAAAATGAGAAAAAACATGGAAACAAGTGGCATACCCAATAATAAGAAAATGGTTATATTAATTCCTAAAAATTACCCAGCAATTAAAATAATGTTTAGGAAGAATTTTAATGACCTAGGTGATTAAATACTCATGATAAAATATTTATAAAAAGCAGGATACCAAATTGAATACAGTTTAACTTCAACTATCAATTATTGGTGTGTATGCTTACACACAGAAGGGGCACTGTAAGAAAATATGTGAACATTTAAAATATAGGCAACCACAAGCTACATGTGGCTATTGAGCACTTGACATGTGGCTAGTACAAAGTGAGATGTACAGTCAAGTGTAAAACATATCAGACTTTGGAGATTGGACCCCCCAAAATGTAAAATGTCTCATTAATGATTTTTTTAAATGTTGATTGCATGCAACTGAAGTAGGAACAAAGCTCCACAAATCATCCGGGTGTGGGGCGCCCATCTGCAGGTCCTGATAAGGAAGCACTTGCCTTTGCCCCACTCACCTGTGGGCTATGTTTCTCCCACAGGGCAGGGATGAGCCTCTGGACTGTCTTGTACTCAACTGGAATCTCATACACGTGCAGGTCCACGCTGTCGCCAAGGCCCAACTTTTCCAGCTCCTGAAAGTGAGGGAGGGAGTGTCGTGGCATTAGGTGAGGGCTGCAGTGACAATGTGTTCCCTGGGGATAAACTGACTGATCTCAGAAAACAGGCAGGTCCTGACTCTGGGCGGAGTGGGTAGGCAAGTGTGCTGGCCCACCCCAAAGCTCTTCCCTCATCCCCTTCCCCACCACTCGCCTTGAACTCTATCTGCACGTCCAAGAGCGGCAGGGGTGTGATGCTGCAGCCTCTTGAGCTAGGCTCTTGTGTTTGAACCCTGTCCGTGTGACCTTGGGCACATTACTTAACCTCTTTGAGCCTCAGTTTTCTCATCTGTAAAATGGGGATAAAAAAAGCACTTACCTCACAAGGAGGTTATAAGAATTAAATGAACAAATTTACACTGAGTTCCAAGCAATGCTCAAATAATGTTGCCTACTGTTACTACTGTTTTTGTTGTTATTACACTTTCCCCTCTGTTACACCTGATAAGAATTATTTATAGATGCGGTGCCTGGTATATAGTAGGACTCAGTTTACATATACAGAGACTCCCCAACTCCTTAGGGAGCCTCTAACCATCTTGGGCTTGAGGTGGTTTAAGAACACCATGAATTATTTCCAAAAATGGGCTATGGATCACTGTGTACACACCTTTCTGGGGAAACACTGATGCTTGTGGGCAGAGCCTACCACCTGGCTGGCCCAAGGCACAGCGCACAGGAGGCCCAGAACTAGATTTGCTGGAGGAACAGTGATCCTGCTAGCCCTGCACCCAGGGGAGGGCAGAGATATTTGGGGATGGAGATTTCAGCTCAATTTGAAAATCTGGGCATTCTTCATAGTAAAATTAATACTCCAAATGATTATCAATAGGGATGTTTCATATTATTCTCAGATCTCATGCAGTGGTTTGAAAATGCTACCACTGGCGCATGTTATCCAGGTCTGTGGGTGGGTCCCAGGTGACGCATTTGTGTGACCGGCCTCTCTGAATCTCCCATGGGTGAGTTCTTGCATCTCTTACAGTGGCTTCAGGATCTCCCTATCTGATCGCCTTGACCTTGCTATCCATGCTGCCCAACTCCGCACCCAACCACTGCAGTTTACTCTAGAGAGTATCTGATGCCTGGAAAAGCAGGTCCCTCCTCACTGATCAATAATTCCAAACTGCCCCCCAAAGAGGGTGCATCAGGTCACCTGGAAACAAGGGCACCTGGAGGATGGGTGCGGCCTCATGGGTGGGTGTGTGGGCCGGGGGGGGTCTCAAATGCCAACACCAGGAACTGGAACCCCTTCCCTCTTGCCAAACACAGTGACATGTGGGACCAGGAAGTACCCCCAGAGAAATCCCACAGCTGGACAGATGAGGGTGGAGCACAAACCTGTACCCCAAAGACTGGCGCACGAGTGAGCTATAGACAGCTGGTGGGACAGATGGTTGGGGGGGGACACAAGGGCTTATGTTTTGTGTGAAATTGATTTTAAAACATTAAAATATACTAAAGAGAAACTTTGTAAAATATTTCATTTCTCCCACAATCATTTTTCTCAGTCATTCGTTTTTTCATTCTTCGTGCTCCCCTTCCATCTAAGCCTCAACTCCCTGGACTGTGCAGTGGGCTCAGAGAAGACATTCTTTAAAGGATGTGAGGGTTCAGAGACACAGCAGGCACATGCTCGCCAGTGTGCGGTCAGGATTCCTCCTGACTATGCTGCTTTTCACCCTATCAACCTCCTGAGAAGTGCTGGAGGTTTTAGATCTGTGGCCACCATTTAAGCTCCCCAATTTCATAAACATTTACCCAGTTTCTACACACTGGAGTGATTACTATGGCCACACAAACATGGACAGACCACCATTTGCCTGAGGTTTGCTGGATACAACTGAGTTTTGTTTGTCAAATCGATTTGGAGACCAAGTCCCACTGTGTTCTGCCCCACACTGTCCCAGCCTCCTAACCCCCAAGGCAGAATCTAAAATCATATCACACCACCCTGGCTGGTGTGCCTCAGTTGGCTGGGCATCGTCCTGTGCACAGAAAGGTTGCCGGTTCGATTCCTGGTTAGGCCACATGCCTGGGTTGCGGGCACGATCCCCTGTAGGGGGTGTGCAGGAGGCAGCCCATCAATGTCCTGTTTTCCCATCGATGCTTCCCTCTCCCTTCCTCTCTCTCTGAAAATCAATTTTAAAAACCTTTTAAAAAATAAAATAAAATCATATCACACCCTTTCCCTGTTCCTGCTGTGGCTCCCTCCATGCTCAGAATAAAATCCCAACTCCTGCCATGGCCCATGAGGCCCTGCAGAATCTGGACACCACTACCCTCCTCGCCCTCCTCTCCCTTCATCCCCTTTTTGCTCCATCCCCTCCAGCATGAGGTCTCCCACATACCAGGCTCACTCCTGCCTCAGGGCCTTTGCACTGTCTGTTCCCTTTGCATGGAGTGCTCTTTTTCCTCACTTTCTGGTCAGTTGACTCCTCCTTAGCCTTCACATTTCAGTGTCCCCTCGTGAGAAGACCTCTGGACACCCAGCCCCCTTTACATGCTCTCTCAGCCTCACAGGCTAGCATCCTTACCACTGCACAGGAGATGCACATAGTAATGCTCCCAAATGTTGGCTGAACAACTGAGCAGCTCAACCTGAGACTGAGAACAAACACAGACCTAGGTGACCCTGCAAATGTACCAGACTCTCCTGAGGATGCCTTTCCTTCTTCAACTTAAATGGGGGTTTGAACTAGTTGCTGGCTGGGACCCCTCTTTCCTTTTCATTCTTTTCTATATTTAAAAGTAGCTCCTCACTATTTACAGTCTCCAAAAAACAGAAACAGTCAAAGTGTCCATCAGTGGGTGAAAGGGTAAATAACAAAACGTGGGCCATCCACACAGTGAAATATTATTCAGCCAGAAAAAGGACTGAAGCACTGACACAGGCTACAAAGTGGATGAAAGCTAAAAACATGATGCTGAATGGAAGAAGCCAGGCACAAAAGGCCAGAGTATGTGATTCCATTTATATGAAATGTCCAGAACAGGCAAATCCATAGCAACAGAAAACAGATTAGTGGTTGCCAAGGGCTGTGGGAGGGGGATGACTGATCATGGGGATAGGTTTCCTTTTGGGGTGATAAGAATGTTCCAGAACCAGACAGAGGTAGTAGTTATACAACATTGTAAATGTGCTAAGTGCCACTAAATTGTAAACTTTAAAATGGTTAATTTTATGTTATATAAATGTAATCTCAATTTTAAAAGAAGAAAAATATAGCTCTTAATTGCATGGATGGTAAAGGGTAGGTAGGAGTCAGGGGTGTAGCTTCCAGAGCCAGGTAACTAGATTTGTTCCTCCCCCTATTCACTGGCTGGGTGACCTTGGGAAAGTCACTCACCCCCTCTGTGTTTTAGTTCCATCATCTGTAAATGGGATGAACAATAGTAGTCATGTCATAGGGAGGAAAAATGAAACAATACACATGAAAGGCTAAAAAAGGGCTCAAAATATGCTAACTTAAACTATATTTGAAAACATGAATGTGCTTCCTTAAAAAAAAAAAATCAAAGCAAGTTCTTCTGGCTAAAGTGGAGCCATGGGAATCAGATTTACCTTCCTGTCTGGAACCACTGAAAAAAAATAGACAAATTATGTAAAATAACAGTTTTCAGACATTTAGTTGAGTCACAGCTGAGGTTCTAGAAAGGGTAAGAAGGCTACAGATGTCAGGACGGAGTCTCAGATAGTTGGGGGGAGGGGGAGCAAGAGGGAGGAGAAAGGCAGGGGTATTGGGGAGAGGGAGAGAAGGAAAGGAAGGGAGGGGGGTAAAGAGAAAAAGAGAGAGAGGAGAGGGAGAGACGGAGAGACAGAGAGAGAGATCAACCCAGAGATCTTTTGAGGGTCTGAGGACTGATGGCATATACTCATGCTAAGGCCAGAGGTAGAGCTACTTGAAAGATCAGAGGCACTACCCCTCAGAGCTCACATGGGGCTGAAAATACTTGGTGTTCCTGCCAGCTAGAGTAGAAACACTTCATAAGGAAGTGGGGAAAAATTAGTTCTGGGAATAAACATTGCTCTGGTCCTGTCTAACAAAACTTAACAGCAAGCCTGGAAAGGATGAGTCTTTTTCCAGTACCCTAATTGTATCCCAGAACAAAGCTCAAGAACATTTAGAAGAAATACAAAAGTATCCAGCATGCCACAAGGTGCAATTCATAATGTCTGGCATCTAACTGATGTTGTCCCAAACTGAGCCCCTCACAAGCCCAAGCAAATCAATTTGGTGGCATCACCTCTGAGCGCAGAGAGATCAAGGATTTTGATTAGTGGCCAATCCAAGGAATCCTCTCTGGGGAACAGAAACCCTCCCAGTGGCCACCATGATATGTGGTGTGCCACGGCCAGACGCCCAGCTCTGGAGGCCAACCCTCCCTACAAACCCTCTCCGCCCTCTTCTCCAGCATTAGCACGACGGCCACTTGCCCACACATCTTAGTGGTAGGAAATGAGCTGGGAGCTACATCTTGACCTAACCTTTGTTCTCATGTTCTCCGGGTGCCTACCTAGCTCCTTCCCAACTGGGGGGAAAAATCTACACTGTGAAAACCACCATCAAATAGACACACACTTCGTGGCCAGCAGCCCCACAGCAAGTCATCCACCTACTGGCAAAGACCCTGCTGACAGCGTCACTGCTGCCTTATTCTTAGGGAGCAAGCCCTGAAGTCAAAGCCAATGCCATTGTCAACGGGAGGAGGCGGTGAATCAGGAAAAGAGCCAGTTACGCTCCCTGCACCAAAGCAGGCTGAGCAAAAGCCTGGCACGCTTGGGTACAGAGGCTGTGCCATACGTTCAAGACCAAGCAAAACTCCTATATGGTGACTGAGCTCAGGATGGCAGCTGTCCCTAGGGCAGGATGGGGAGGCAGGAGGGAATGTTCTGGGTGGATGGCAATGGAACTGGAGACATGGGCAGAAATACTTTTCTCCTAAGTGACAGGGATACTGAAGATCAGTATATGTCCCTTTATGCAAATTATTTTCCAATTTTACAAAGGGCAATGGAGGTGAAAGAGCAGCTATTAAGTTCATCTGAAGTTACAAGAAGTGGGTGACCAGTAATCTCACTCAATTCTTTGCTTCTGAACACTTTCTGTTCCAATGGGACCAAGTGGTTCTCCTGGGGGGCTGGCAGCACACCCCAAGTCCCAGGACAGTTTGCAGTGAGTGAAAGGAAGGGAATGGGCTTGGGTGTCCCAGACGGTGCATTGTCTACACCCTATCTACCTGACAAGACTCCAGCACTCAGACTCATCTGACCGATTCCCTTGACTCCACAACAAAGACCCCCTTTGTTCCCTGGTTAATATCCTTAGCAGGTCTGCCTAGAATCACTGTAGCAGTAATTGTCCTGTGATGTTACCAGGACCTGTGACCCAGCTCCTCCTGCCTGCAGGCAGGGAATGCTCCAGACAGCCCCAAGCCATGGGGTCCTGCCCCTTGACACCTACACCTACCTGGGCCTCCTAGGAAGAGACACACAGCTGGTGTCCCATGCCACCTGGGAGAGACAGGACACATGAAAAACATATTCTCTCCTCTAAGAGGTGCTGAGGAGCACCATCCTGGGGAAAAAACAAAGTGGGGGATCACCCCTCAGTCCCCAGAACTCCCACCTCCTGATGTGGCCAGTGGAAGTTCGCCTAAGGCTGAAGAAGGAAGGTCACATGAGGGAAGGGGAGCAAAAGACAGAGAGACAGAGAGAGATGGAGTTGGAAAGGAAGAGAGACAGAAAGAGAGGCTGAGAGAGACTCACAGCGAGGCCAAGAGAAACAGAAAGACAAAGGAAAACAAGAGAAACAGAGATGGAGAAAGATGTAAAGAGAAGGGGAGAGAGACAAAGATTGAGACAAAGAAAGAGAGAGAGACCCACAGAGAGGCCAAGAAACTGAGAGACAGAAAGGGAGAGAGAGACAGAAATACGGAGAAAGATAAGAGCGAAGAGGAGAGACAGACAGGGAGAGAAGTTCACTGGTCCCCAAGAGAGCAGGTAGGCTTCCATCTACAGATGGCAACTCGGGCTTCTGAAAAACCAATTGGGACAGAAAGTAACGCTGCTCATTCTATGTTACCAAACCCCCATCTTCAGCCTCAGGTGACAGACCAAGCACACTCGAGGCCTATTTTATTGAGGTATCCATTTGACCTATTCAACAGCTGCACTCTTCACAGGCAAATAAATCTATTTTATCCAGGGCAACTAAAAAGTACCCATGAGAGCTCCGAGCAACTCCTGGGTGGGTCACGCAGACCACATGGGACAAGCACAACTAAGACTCACCCTCGGTGGCAATAAAGTCAGCAGAGAGGTTTATACCTTGGGGAGGGGGTAGCTGAGAGGGGCACAAGGGGCCGGAATATCCTAAACCTTGATCCAGATGCAGGTGACGTGCAGGTGCATGTGTTACTATTCCATGGAGTTATACTAGTGTGCATACTCAGAGGATATCTGTACCACTCGTTTTTTTAAAACAGAGAAACAATCAGATCTGGGCAGGTTGGTGTCTTTTTAGTTGGGGACTGGTGGAAAATCTTTTCTTGTTTCATAAACTTGAGAAAGAAAGCTGAAAGTCTTCCAGAGGAGAGGTCTGGATAGATGAGCAACAAAAACAGAAAGGGTATTTCCCCTCAGGCAGCAGCATGAAAAGCAGCCGTTCCCCTCTATCCAAGTCCCAAAGCTGGGGGGGGGGGATTTCCAAAGATTGTTTAATTGATTTTTCTCCTATTTAGATGCAGATCATCGTGTCTGGGGCCCAGGAATTCAGACACATGGCTTTGTGTCCACTCAGCCCCGTGAAGGCTCCGGTCTGAAACTCGCACAAAGCCAGACACACAAGTCTTCAGAAACACGCTGTTTCCTTTTTGTCTGGGGCTCCAGGGAGCGGGTACTATGAGCAAGGCCTCGAACATGCTCCCATCTGCAGGGTCCCGGGGACCCCGTCCCTCTGTCCCGCTCACAAAATAGGGTAAAAATTTTTAAAAAAAAAAGGTCGCCAAGATTTTTGAGGTCTGGAGTAGGAGTGATAAAAAAAGGTGGGGGGGGGGGCTCCAAGTTTCAACTTGGAGTTTTCTCCAAATTCAGGGCTCTGGAGTGGAAAGCATGCAATGCTTTAAATCAAGCAGCTAATGGGCTAGGATTAACATGAGTTTGGCTCCGGTCTCTGCAGATCTGATTTATATAAGGAGAAAACATTTCTCTCTTTCTCTCTGCCCATTGTTCCCTAGTCTGTCCCTCCAAATGCCCCATCTGACAAAGAAACTAGAAGGCTCACTGGCTGACATCCTGCTCAGGACAGCAGGAAAGACCCCCCC